TCTCTATGTAACTTACTATCTAGCTATCTATTGATCTATCTCTCTATCTACAGTGATTCTCCACTAAATACACAATCTGCTACAACACTACTAACTCTCAAAGCAACTAACGGCAACAACAGCAACAAACCAACCTGCTCTACAAAGACAAATTGAAATGAACACCACTAAATAGGGATAACCTGTCTCTGAACACACTCGATCCAAAGTGATTCACATGACAAACCGAACCAATCAGCTGATTCACCTGACATCCGATGAACCCCACTGCTTCGGACGTCACTCAAGTGATTCAAAATGTCACTAGTCACGTGACCGAAACATGCCTCGGCACAGTGGTTCGAAACAATTGCTTTATGAGCTACCGCGCATGTGTCGGAGCCTCCGGTGTCATAGGGCCATCACTACCTGCCTGTTCTATCGACCTATGATTCTGCCTTGCCTTCCCTGCTGCCCTGCCGGAGATTTCGACCACAGGCTGAACTAAGTACTGCTCTCTGCCTGATCCTGTAAGACTGTGTCTGTTCACGTCTAACTTACAGAAAGACATTAAATCCTGTACTGCTGCCTCAGCTTTCTGGCTCTTTAATTGGGTTCACACCTCCACCTTCACGGGAGCTTCACACACCCCTCCCTGACACATTTATGCTGAATTATATGGTTGTTTGTGGATAACTGTAACATTTTGCATGTGTAGTTAGTGAAGCTAACAATAGACACAGTGAAATTCGACAAAACATTTACATGTATTTGCTATGCAACAAAATGAAAGGAAAAAGGAGAGAAACTGGACATAATTAACCAAAAGAAGATTGGTGGTGAGTGCTATGTTCAGTCAGAGACATCAGATGCTCTAATTCACATGAATGACACAAACAAGCCACATTTTGACCGGGATTTATTAATATATTAATTTTTTTAACAATTTGACAGGCCTATCTAATGGTAAACAGGCCAGCATCCCATTTAAAACTTCATGATTTTGAAAAAACTAAAGACATGATGCAGGTGGTGCAATGCCACTTTCTTTTTTCATTCATACCAAGAATGAGTTACAGTGGGTAACTCAAAACTATGTACAAAATGTAGATCTACAGTAATGACTTGTCAGGATGCGGTCATTCAGGAGTATTTAAATGGTATTTGTTTTCTGTTGATAGTAAGAGTGCATCTATCTGCTCCCAGTAGTTTGAGCATGTACTGTATGTGTAACACAATAAGGTGTTTGTCAGATATTCCATTTTTGATTGAGTCCACCTTTCTTCCAGGTCAGCAGTAAACTGTGGCTATAAAGGAAGACAGAGGGACTAGAGAATCCAGGCCGACAGGGATAATGAATAGAAAGGCGCAGGCAGTAGCCTAGCCTGTGGGCAGGATTACACTATCGAGAAATCACAATGATGAAATGAAGATGTTTGCTGCTCTGCTGCGGGCAGTCTGTGTGTGTCTACCTGAGTATGTGCATGGCATAGGCTATGAAATCATTCAGGAAGAAAGACAAAAGTGACACTTGAAAGAAATAAAGAAGAAATGATCAAAAACCCACAAACATGGGTTGATCACCTGATAGAATGTTTTTTTTTTTTTTGTTGGTGTTGTTAAAAACCCTTAGACCACTCATACAGCTGTCAAACTATCTGTCTCACATGAAAATGTAGAATAGCCATGTTGGTCCACAGTGTAAAATGTAGTGTCATAATGGCTGTAAAATTGTGAGAAAACTGTAGCCTAGTGTCCTCCTTTGTCTTTTTGTTCTTGGTTTTTTATAGTAGTTGTCAAATAATGAAATGGTGCTTTGCCACCACCAACTGGACTGGAGTGTGGATTAGGAATCTAACATTAATTTGTGTTGATGCCATGCGGTTTTGAACTGTAGAACTTTAAAAATATTAGGAAGTTGGTGGATGGGCCCATCAAACACCGGACTTTCACGCAGACAGCTATAGATTGAGCCCCATGTCTAACATTCTGTGACGTTGTACTTTTCTTTTGAGAGTTGTAGGATATGGTTTGTCTCACCATTGCTAACTCTGAGAGACGAGGCAGTCCAAGTAACTTCAAAACAGTGCTGATTTATTCAAAGGATCACAGGTAAAATTAACATTGCACGCTCAAGTATCTTGCACCTCCAAACTGAACGCAGGCAGATGTAAGATGAAAGACCCTGAGCCCACCAGGCCTATACATTATATCACCTCATTTGGGCTAGCCCCATACTACACAGAAAGGTCAACCGAGACGTCTCTGTTGCCAGCTCTGCAGCTGGCCATAGCAGTAGTCAAAACATGAAGCAAATCAATGTGTGTGTGTGTGTCTGTTGATTAAGTGGTGTGTAACTAAAAACATTCTCACGACCTCTAGTACATGTCGTGTCTTAAACATAAGAACATATTATGGCTAAGGCTACAGTTAGTCGTAATAATAATATTAAACACCCTGTCTGCTGACAGTCCTCAACTCTTCTCTCTAGTTATCCTTGACCAGATGTACCCTGTAGAAACTCATAAGCATGCCTAAGCATTTAACAGTCTAACTAGACATCCTATCTCCACTAAACATTTCTAATACATAAAGTATCTATCCAATATCTATCTGGCTAAAAATACCTAACAGAGTGTACCTGTGAAAGGATCTCTATGGAGCAACAAAGAAGTATAAGCCTTGCTTGAAATTTGGGCTAATGAAAACATACAAAGACAACTGGATACTTCTTTATACCAACTACATGCAAACTGCCACCTACTGTATCTGACTGTGTACATATGCAAGTGTGCTGGGGTACGGAACAGTGTTACTAGTGCAAAAGCAGGTATGAAACAATCATGCCTAATGTGAAAACACTCTAATTGTGTATGTTTGTGTGCATGTCTTGCCTGTTACCCAGTGGAGCTGAAAGAGCACCTGCAGAGATTTGTGGAGGAGACCAATGCTCAGCAAGGTCCGGGATTCATCAAGGTGGTCCACCATGACAAGCAGGAAGGACTGATAAGGTCCAGAGTCAGCGGCTGGAGGGCTGCCTCTGCTCCTGTGGTGGCTCTGTTCGACGCACATGTGGAGTTCAACACTGGATGGTGAGCAGTCAGATTCAATTCATTCAGCAGTATATGCAATAAGGCTGTAATAATACCTCCAACAGACTGTTACAGGCCCAAGATAGCAGTGAGTGGGTCTGAAACATATTTACATATTCCAGAAGTCTTGTGAGGTCACCTGGTTCACATAGTAGCAGCTGAGCTTTCAGACTATTTGATGTTATACTGAGATGATCTGACTGAAGGATATATTTGGTGATATTCTAGGTAATGTGTTACAGGTACAGTATGTGATTCTTCTAGTCAGTATGTCTCATTAAAAAAACTAAAATGAACATTGATTGTATCCTGCTAACAAGTACTGTGTGTATATCTACAGGCTGACTTATCTTATTCCTCAGTGCCATAAACTATTGAAAACACATCAATAAGCCACACCACACTGAATTCATTTATTCTCAACAGCCAGTCTGAGAGGTTGCTGATTAAATCTGAAAAGAGGCATCTTTCCACTCTAGAGGCACCTGTTTTTCTTCAAGACATCAGTGTATCAACGGAGAACGGCAGTGATGAATTTTAACACTGAATGCCAAAAAATAATTGGTTTATACACTGGTTCATGAAGGGTTTAATTCAGCTTTTATACAAGCGGTTTAGATATTTTTTGAAATAGCAGAGTTTGTTGTGGTCCAGGATGGCCTATTTAAACCTGCAGTCCTCTATGATACATCAAAAACACATAATTCAGGTGTGAAAGGAGATCTGCTCATTAAAATAAGATGTGGACTTGGTCACATTTCTGCCACTTTGACTGAAAACTCTGAGGGTAATCTTGACAACTCAATAAATGTTTTGACTCTAAAAATCTGATATCATTCCCAGTTTTATTATGAAAGCTGTGATGATCATATGGGTTTCTACTGAACTAGGCTATCTTAAGACTTAAAATTAAAGGTGACAAGCAGCTAGGAGAATGACTAAAAATTATTCTTTGGATGCTAATTATTATGCAGATTTTGATAATTATTATTCAATAATATGGGTATTGAAGAGTATAGATGTTATTAGGAGAGGCGACTTTTCAAGTAGTGCCATCAACAGTTCAATATCTTCATAACTGATGGCATTGCTGTTATATGCTATTAACAAATGGTAGAATTCTACACTAAACACAAACATGGAAAACATTATTAACTAAACTTAAAGAGCCCATGGCATACGTTTCCTTGTTTTCTGACTTATCTACAATGTTACAATGGTGAATTCTCATCTTAGACGTGACCTAAAAATCAAAAATTAGGTGAACGTATGTTCTAGTATTTCTATGCAGATGTAACTTGGTTTATACACCTCTCGCAAACTCTTGCAAGACTTTTTTTCTACCAAAATAAAGTATTATGTGATAGTTTAAGGATCTTTTTGAATGGGCATAAAATCTAGGCCATTGTGCGTTCATGTGAGCTTGTCTGAAATCCACCAGTATCCATCCCCACTATATTGGCAAAAATGTTATACTGCATTGTTTGCTATGTATGTTTTCAATAAAGCTTATTTTTAAAAAAAGACAATTTTTCAACTGTGCATGGTTTTGTGGATATAGTGTGTTTTACCTTCTGCTTCACTGTGAACAGAGGATGTGGAGAAAAATACAGTTGTTCAGAATTGTACAGAATGTTCCTGTATAGGGACTCGCTGTTTTACCTGGCTGGGTCTAACCTACAACCAGCTGGCCAGTGAAGGCCCCCGCTGTGGAGAATGATCAGCTCATCAATGCTGGATTCCCCCGGAGCACAGTTCCTGTTTATTTTGACTGCTTGAGGCCAGTGTTTCTTGTGCATGTGATGTGTTGGTTAAAGAGCGGATTAATGACCCATGATGTCATTGTAGGTACTACATACTACCTGTTGGAATTAATTACCATTTTGGGAATGTATGTGGTCATGTGGTGGAAGAGACAGGGACCAGCGGTTGGATTTACCGACCTTGGAGCTACTTGAAAGGGAGTGATGTTTCCACTACTCAGTGGGACTAAAAAAAACATGATGCATGTCTGTTAATGCCTTGTTTTTGTAACGTTAGACAGAATTGTTGTACGGCTGGAGAAGATACTATGTCTGCATTATGCCAGTTAAAATATGGGCTTACTCAACTATCCACTTTGTTTAGAGTGTTACATATCTCTTCTGATCAGTATATATACTGCTGTTTAATATTGAGATGCTTGGCTATAAGTTCAACAAAGGCCACAAAGAGCAGTATCCTCCATGGAGAAGGAGGTTGGAGACCAAGATCAAGGCATCAAGGAGAGAAGTTAGCCAGCTATTGGAATTGCAGAAAGGCATGATGAAGAAAGGGGTACCTAAGAAGTATAACACACTATTCATAACCGAGGCCTTAGAGACTGCCAAGCAAAAGCTGACAGCCCTGGCCACCAGGCTGAAGAGGTACACCAGGGAAGCTGAAGCCAGGAGAATAAACTGAATGTTCTCCACTGAGCCATCCAAGGTGTACTCTCAGTGGCAGGGTAATAACGTGAGAGCAGACCCACCAAGGCTGGAGACTGAACAATTTTGAAAGACCATATGAAAGAAGGAAGCATCACATAACAACAATGCCCAGTGGCTGGTGGACTTGAGAGCACACCACAGTAACCTCCTTGAACAAGATCCTGTAACCATCACAATGGAAAACATCCAAGAGAGGGTCTCAAGTATGAAGAGCTGGACAGCACCAGTCCCTGACATGATCCACGCCTACTGGTTAAAGAAGCTAACTTCACTCCATGAGTGCCTGGCAGGACAAATGAACCAGCTACTAATGGATGGAACCCACTCTGTGCGGTTAACTGAAGGCCGGACAGTCCTGATCTTGAAGGACCCTCAGAAGGGAGCAGTACCATCCAACTACCACCCAATAACCTGCCTCTGCACAACATGGAAGCTCCTGTCAGGCGTCATAGCAGCTGGGCAGGCACATGGCTCAATACATGAGCAGGGCCCAGAAAGGAATTGGTAGTAACACCAGAGGAGCAAAGCACCAACTACTGGTTGATAAAGTAGTCACTCGAAACTGCAAGACCAGACATACCAACCTGGGCATGGCCTGGATTGACTACAAGAAAGCCTATGACTCAATGCCTCACACATGGATCCTGGAATGCTTGGAACTGTACAACATCAACAGGACTTTAAGAGCCCTCATAAAGAACTCAATGGGGATGTGGAAAACAATCCTACAGGCCAACTTCAGGCCAATTGCACAAGTCAACATCAAGTGCGGTATCTACAAAGGAGATGCTCTGTCCCTGCTGCTGTTCTGCATAGGCCTGAACCCCCTCAGCCAGATCATCACCAACAGTGGTTACGGATACCGACCACGGAATGGAGCAACCATCAGCCACCTCCTCTACATGGATGACATCAAGCTGTATGCCAGGAGTGACCGAGACATCGACTCACTGATCCACACCACTAGGATCTACAGCCAGGACATTGGAATGTCATTCAGACTGGTTAAGTGTGGTCGAATGATAACAAGGAGAGGAAAGGTAGTCAGGACTGAGGGGATTGTACTATCAGAAGGCAACACAGCAGATGTTGAGGACAGCTACAAGTACCTTAGGATCCCACAGGCAAATGGAAACCATGAAGAGGCCATAAGAAATGCAGCAACCATCAAGTACCTGCAGAGAGTAAGGCAAGTCCTGAGAAGTCAGGTGAATGGAAAGAACAATGTCTTGGCGATTAACACCTACGCCCTGCCGGTCATCAGGTACCCCGCTGGCATAATAAGCTGGCCGAAGGAAGAGATAGAGGCCACTGACATCAAAACAAGGAAGCTCCTTACAGTGCACGGCAGGTTTCACCCCAAATTCAGCATCCTGAGACTGTACACTAAGCGGAAGGAAGGAGGCCGAGGATTAGTGAGCGTCAGAGCCACTATCCAGGATAAAACGACAAAGATCCATGAGTACATCAGGGAGATGGCCCCGAGTGATGACGCGCTTAGAGAATACACACATCCGCAGAA